TCTCATTAAAACCTCACCATGGTATTTCATAATTTAATCGCTCGCTCCAAGAAGATATAGCGTGGGATGTGCTGATTTATCTACTGTTGCGCACATGCAATATTCTACCGTTAAATTCGTCATTTAGCAAAGTTTGTGATGCAAACCCCGTAGCAACGTTGATTACAAAACTCACAACGAGATTGACGAATCCAAGAAAGCCAAATTAATCCAAGAGTTTAGAACTAACCCAAAAGAAAGTCGAACCAAAAAACCCAACAAGAACGACGCTTAAAAGACCCCTTGATCACGCAATTTAAGAATTAAATCCAGTTGTTTGAACGCCACAAGTTAACACTTGATAAATTTGAAGTTGTTCAATGAAGAACGATAAAAAGAAGACAATACGCCTCACTTTAATTTAATATCAATAATGTCAACAGTTTTTAACAATTGAATGGAAACTCCTATTTATACTAAATCTAAAAACTAGGTAAAAATCGTGCAAAAATCGATCATAATCCCCAAAATATGGAAAAAAAAATCAAAAACTAACAAAATATGAAAAATTGCCAAAATTAGGAAATTCGCCAAAAAAATGGTCTATGCAACCACATAGTATATTTCCATGTGGTCGCATGGTTCAATCCGGTTGGCTTCTTTGAGTTTCGATAAGCACCTATGCGGTCGCATGGTGTTTTAGCCTATGCGGTCGCATAGACTTGTTTTCAGCCTCCGGTTTCATCACTTGATAATAAATTGATCCAAGTTGATTCGGCATTCGGCCTAAACATGAAAGTTGCTCCATTTTGAGTCCCGAACATGGTTCCATCAATGGTTTCTTGAACAAGCAATCCCATCACTTATTTCACTTGCTTTGCCCTTGATCGCATCATTGATCCGCCATCGACTATCAACAGGTCTCGTTTCGCACTCGCCTTCGTCGGGCTCGACTCCTGGATCATATCATCCCCTCCCTCTTCAAAAGGATTCATCCTCGAATCTAAACCTGTATCAAACAGAGAGAGATCAGATACATTAAAAGTAGGCGAAACATTATACTCACCTGAATGTCCAACTTGTATGCATTATTGTTTATCTTTTCAATAACTTGAAATGGACCATCGCCTCTCGGTTGCAACTTGGACTTCCTCTGCTCGGAAAACCACTCCTTCCTAAAGTGTATCCAAACCCAATCTTCTGGTTCAAATGTTACGCGCTTCCTACCTTTGTTCGCCTGCGACTCATCCAACTAACTTTTGTTTTCAATTTTGTGCTTTTACCTTTTCATGGAGTGACTTAACCAATTTCACCTTCTTTTTGCTATCTAAACTACCACGTTCATTCACAGGTAAACGAATTAAATTCAAAGGAGTTAGTGGATTAAAACCATATACAATTTCAAATGGAGAATATGACGTAGTAGAGTGAACAACTCGATTGTATGCAAATTCAATGAATGGTAGACACTCCTCCCAACTCTTCAAATTTTTATTCATTATTGTGCGTAACAATTGTGTCATCGTCCTATTCACTACCTCGATTTGCCTATCCATTTGTGGGTGACAAGTTGTGAAAAATAGAAACTTAGTGCCTAACTTTCCCCACAAAACTCTCCAAAAGTCACTCAAAAATTTGACAACCTGATCCGACACTATGCTTCTAGGAACCCCATGTAAACGCACAATCTCTTTAAAGAATAAGTCAGTAATGTTCGTGACATCGTCAGATTTGTGACATGGTATAAAATGTGTCATTTTGCTAAACCTATTTACAACCACAAAAATAGAATCCCGACCTCTCTTAGTCCTAGGTAAACCCAAAACAAAGTACATCGAGATATCAACCCAAGGTTCACTAGGTGTAGGTAAAGGTGTGTACAAACCTTGAGGTAAAACCTTAGATTTAGCCTTTTTATAAGCTATGGATCGACTACAAATTTGCTCAACATCACTTTTCATCTTAGGCCAATAAAAATGATCCTTCAATACATTTAAAGTCTTTTGAACCCTAAAGTGTCCCATCAATCCACCACTATGTGTCTTCCTTACTAACAACTCCCGAATAGAACAATTAGGAACACATAACCTATTTTCCCAAAATAAATACCCCTCATGCCTAAAGAACCTATCAACTGCCCCTTTTATGCATGACAAATAAATATCCGAAAATTCAATATCTTTTTCATACAATTCCTTAATATGTTCAAACCCAAGCAGCTTAGAATCAATAGTAGTTAGCAATACGTACCTTCGCGACAACGCATCCGCCACCACATTTTCCTTGCCTTGTTTATACCGAATGACGTATGGAAAGGTCTCAATGAATTCCATCCATCGTGCATGCCTCTTGTTCAATTTACCTTGTCCCCACAAGTGCTTTAGTGACTCATGATCGGTATGTATTACGAACTTCTTCGGCCATAGATAATGTTGCCAAGTCTCCAAAGCTCGAACAAGTACATAAAGTTCTTTGTCATATGTAGGATAATTTAAAGCAGCTCCACTCAATTTCTCGTTAAAGTATGCAATAGGCCTCCGATCCTGCAATAAAACTACTCCAATTCCTATTCCTGATGCATCACACTCAATCTCGAATGTTTTATCAAAGTTAGATAATGTCAAAACAGGTGCTTCGCACAATTTACTTTTAATAGTATTAAATGCAAGTTCCTGTTCATCACCCCAATGAAAACCTACACTCTTTTTAACTACTTCCAAGAGTGGTGCGGTAATAGTGCTAAAATCTTTCACGAAATGCCTATAAAAACTAGCCAAACCATGAAAACTCCTAACTTCCGTTATGCTTTCAGGTGTCGGCCAATCTCTAATAACTTTTATCTTTTCATCGTCTATTTCTATCCCATTATCACTAACCACAAAACCAAGAAAAATAACTCTATCCATGCAAAACGTGCATTTCTTAAGATTAGCATAGAGTTGTTCTTTCCTTAAAATAATTAACATATACTTTAAATGTTTCAAATGCTCTCCCAGGTCTTTGCTATAGATTAAGCTATCGTCAAAATAAACCACAACACAATTTGCTCTCATTTTTTTTTAACTCTTTTGCTCTCTTCTCTTCCTCATTTCTCAATTTTAATTGGTCCTCATAGACTTGCGCCGGTGTTAATAGTACAAGAGTAATAGTCCTTCCATCCTTAATGAAACTATATTGATTTTTGTACCCATCATGCATAGCCTTCCTATCGTATCGCCATGGTCGCCCCAATAAATTATGTCCCGCTTGCATTGGCACCACATCACACACTAACTCGTCCTTATAACTCCCAATTGACAAATTAAGTAACACCCTTCGATTCATCCTCACCTCACCACTCTCATTCAACAATTGCAATTTATAAGGTCTCGGGTGTCTCAACAATTTTAAACCCAATTTTTCTACAAGAGATATGCCAGCTACATTAGTGCAACTACCACTATCAATTATAACACTACATACCATATTGTTGACGTGGCAGCGAGTGTGGAAAAGGTTCTCCCGTTGCAACTCCAAGTCATCCGCTTTGACATGAGTAGTGAGAGCTCACCTTGTGACTAGTAGATCCCCAATCGGCCCTTGAACTTTTTCTTCTTCACTAACACTCTCCAACGTCGGCATGTCATCAAACTCGTCATCACTATCACTCACAATCTCTCCATTATCCCGCAACACTACCGCCCGTTTGTTTGGACATTGAGAAGCAATATGCCCCGTTCCTAAACACCTAAAACATTTGATATCCCGATTGCGCGATGGTTGTGCCTCCGATTTTGATATTAGTTTGCTAGCATTTTCATCCTTGCCTTTTTGCCAATCATTTTTACCTCTAGGTGTAGCCTCGTTTTTGTTGTTGTCATCCCACTTCAATTTTCATGTTGGATTAGGAGTCGAAGTACCTAACGGTTGCCTAGACGTCCCCTTCCTCTTCAATTGCCTCTCGACCTTCATTGCCACATGTAACATGTCCTCGATTTCCATATAGTGTTGCAACTCTACAATGTTTACAATATCCCGATTTAACCCATTCAAGAACCGTGTCATGGTAGCTTCCCAATCTTTCTCCACATTAACCCAAATCATAAGAATTTACATCTCCTTGTGATAATCCTCTACGCTTTTCGATCCTTGGTATAAACCTTGCAACTTTTGATGGATTTCCCTAAAATAGTGACTCGGAACAAACCTCCTCCTCATCAACACCTTCAATTCATCCCAAGTGCAAATTGGTCTTTCCCAACCCCTACGCCGTGATGTAAATACTTGATCCCACCAAGAAATCATGTAATCCACAAATTCAAGCACCGCCAATTTTACCTTTTTCTCCTCCGATCATCTCAACCTTCCTTTCTCACTCTAAATATGCTTCTTGATCGCTTCTCCCCTTAAATTGCGGAATAGTCATTTTAATACTTCCCAAATTTCCATCTACTTCATCTCCCAAGTTATTTCTACCCCCTCTTTCCATCCTATCGCCCCTATGCCTCGCTCGACTCATATCAAAGTCATTTTCATCAAAATCATCCTCATCACTACGATACTCATCTTGCCTTCCTCTCCTAGATTCACGCCTACCAAGCCCCCTAGCATTAGACATCTCCGTTTGTCCCCAACTAAGATTAGCAATTGTAGTATTTATTTGCACCATCCATTCCCCATGCCTATCCACCTTCTCTCTAACATCACTAAGTACCATTTCAAACCACCTTATCATGTCCTTCGATGCATTGTTGTCATTACCGTTTCGGCTTGAGTTGGAACCTTCTTTTTCCGACATCATATCACACAATTTTTTTATGCTTCACTAAGATTTCACTCGAAAAACACTCACTATGGCTTTTTCCCTCTATTAAACTCACCATTCGGCCTTTTACCACTCAAAGTCTCCCTCCAAGCACTTCAAAGAACCAAGTGA